ATTTCTCACATTACACTAACTGCGTTATTGCACCACTCCGTTGCTTCTAGTCGCCTATGGGACTATTTGAAAATACATATTTATATAAATAAATAATATACAAAATTTAAGTTAAAATCATAGCCTCGTTCCGCATAAACAGCTTTTTTAAGGCCACCACCTGCTTTAATAGCTACTGTGTGAATCTTCAAAAAACGATTTAATTGTCTCATGCTGTCTGTGCTCTTCGAGGTGACGACTTACTGTTCTTTCTCGGCTGGCTGCATCAAAGCACAGTACAACGAACTCCTTTCCGAAGAAAAGACTGCAAGTCACTGCTCCACTGCCCATCCATTCGGCTACCTCAAATAAACAATAGAAATTGAATTTCAAATCGAAGTTCTTCAAAGAAATTCTGACTAAGCACAACAGCGTTGTTCTGATGGAGCCTTAAATGAACCCAAAGCAAATTACTTCTTGTTCACAGTCGTAAATGTTAGTCTACTTAGAAGAGAAAGTTGTGATGTCGACTACCGTTTAACGGTTGGTTTTGCTCTTCATTTTGAATTCTTTGCGGCCCATTGTCCTGGCATTGAACATCATCATAGTCGTCCCTTGATATCTATCTGGAAGAATTTACTGGATCCCATTTTCTCGAGCTAAAGTTTCTTACCGAATGCTTACCAACAGTGGCATTAAAAATCTTTTGAGTAAACATTACTGATCCTTCATTGAGGTAAGGAATGGTTCGTTAAAGAAATGGAACATATGCAACTGCAATGTTGCAGCGATACAATTCCCAGGAAAATCAATTATTCTAGGGGTAATTACTAAGAACGAGTGCTAGACATTTTGTTACTAGGTATTGAGTAGTTCACGGGTTCACTTACCCACGAGTTAGAGTTTCGAGAGGTGATAATGCAGCCTAAACTAAGTGTTAAAATTAGCATGGATTTCAATTATAAAGCTGTGCATAGGGAAAAAATATTTTTTAAAGTGCATAACAAATCTTAAGCTTTTATAAAAATGATCAAGCAGAAATAAACAAAGGCATTCCTTATATGCACTAAACTCGAAAGAATCATAAACAAACGGGACAACATGAATTTGGCAACTTCACCAGCTTTCTGCAGCTTTCTTCTATTGCTGGACAAGCGACAGCGTTGCACCAGACTTTGCTATCCTAAAAAGTTTAATCCAAAGATATAAATACTTTATTCAGAATACCAAACTTAATTTTTAACAGTCGCAGTTTGTTCAACTTATTTAAGGTCAGCCGCTTTGCAACGCATCAGTAGGTGAAGAAATAGGGCCATGTAAAGAATGACATGCTCATACTTAAATTTTCCCTGATAAAATCGATTAGAGAGAAAATTCCTTTACGTTGTTCGATAAACGGGTTGGAGAATATTAACTATGATTAGATTATTAGCTATTACGTAGAAATTAAAGTAAAGTAAATATTCCCTGGAAAGATGGCCTGCATATCGAAAGGTACACCAACAAATCTGTCTTTGGCAAGAAGTTTCTTCAGAAAAATCCAACGACCCAAATTACTTTGATCAAAGGAAATGTCGAATGATTCCAGATTATATTCCATGACCCAGGATGATGATGACGGAAGCAAATTGATAAATAACAGACATTTATCACTTTATCATATCCTATCCCAAATGTTACCTTGCAGCTACAGCTTGTGCAATGGTCATCCGAAGACCATTCATCGCCAGTGGCTCGCCATGTTCCATTGATAAAGCAGCCATTATCGCCTAGTTTACGCTTCCCTCCTATAGCTGCTGATTCTCGGACGTTTTGCAACTCTCTGCTCAACTTGTTGACCATATCTTCTAAGGCTGTCAAGCGTTTTTCTTGTAATATTTCTTTCTGAAGATGGGCCAACTTATCATATGCCCATTCGTCTGGCGGTTGATTCGTAATTCTAGCCTGCCGCCGCATCCTATAAGAAAAACATCAGGGTAAATTATAAATTATTGCAGAATTTAGGCATGTATTTGCTGTTTTGTTTTGTCATGGTCATCTTATGTCTGACAGTTTGAAGCGGTACTTTAGGCATAAACGCTCAATTTAATCATCAAGAAATCCCAAAAATTGAACAGTGCTGCGGAATGGCACCAACACTGAAGCTTCTTACGGTATGTTTCAACCGGGAAACATAGGTTGACTGTCCAAATTAGAAGGGAAGATTTACAGCAAATTACAAAGTTAAACAGAAGCGATGGTAACAGATGAAATGAAAGGTTAGTTTGAAGAGTAAAACTTTCCACTACAGACATACTGATTATTTGAAAAGCTGTTCAATGAGGATTCAACTAATTTTAATTTAGTAACGATGAAAAAAGAGTTATCATATGTGTTTTTGTGCTTATCGTCAAAAAAGCTATTCTGTTTTGCTAGTTTTCTATTACTGTCTCCATTCAACCAGAAAATCAATCATATGAAACGCTTACGTTATGAATGATTGAGTTGCTGAAAACTGACAACAAAGTCAGTCAAAATATATCACTGTATAATTGAAATTAACGTCATGAAACGCAACAGAAAGTTGTAATTTATGTTCGCCACTACGAGACGGAATAATTTTCTGTAAGATACTCAATTACATAAATGTTTAGTAATATTTCAAGTTTGGTAGTTAACTCCAAATGAAAATCCAAATAACATAAGGGCAGGGGTAAAAAATCTTCATGCAGCAATGGAAAAACGCTATGAAGCGAAAAAGTGCAAATTATTAATTATCTAATAATGGGCTTAAACATCAAAATATGTTCGTACATCGTGCCACATCATATAATACATAAATCTTCTAAGATCAGAATTCACCGCACATTGAAAGTTCCATTACTTCAGTTGTTCTAGAGGAACATTTGGACAAGCTGTGACTCCGTAGTACCAGAAGGATCGCATCATTTTGCTTGTCATATATGTCTTGCGCTCATTTCGAACGCTGTTTCAAGAGCTGCTACTCATTATATGCTACTGCATAATTAAAAATGATATGGTTCAATAATAGTACGCATCGTGGAGCAAGTCAGTGGAAAAAACGCTTAATAATAAAAGCAAAAATCACGCATTGAGCTTTCAGATTAACTTCGGAAGCAAAATTTTGTGGGAATGAGGCACCCTTACAGCATCTCTTGCGCGCTATGATTCTAAACTACGGTCTTCACCGCCAGCTTTAATTGAGTGCTTGGAAACTTCCACATACTAACAGTAGAAGAACGACATCTCAAAAATTTCGAAAGCGGTAGTCAAATATTAAACTCACACTACACTCTCACTCTTCTCCGCCTAAACGCTTTGTTTCAATATGGCGATCATCATTCAGTGACCATCCGTCTTCAAGTCCATTTGAAAAATATAAAAGAACACTCCAATAGCGTAAAAATCTTTGGAAAAAATGTATCAAATGCTTGACACTGCATCCAAGAGCTCAAAAACCTCGGAATTTCTGCCACTGATGAAATTGTACGCAAAATAAAAAAAACTTGTGAAAATCCGTGGAACTTCGTCGGATATTAGAAGACGACAAACTCTCATAGCAAAATCTACTGTAGCACACTCATGAGGTTTTCGACGGGAATGGTTCAGTAGGCAAAGTAATGCACGATGAATCTGTTTCAGCAATAAAAGACAGTTGACAGTGTTTCTTCAGCAAAAATTTTTGAAATTTTGAAAAGTCTTTTCTTTTTCAAAGAGTATCTACAATATATGAAAAAGACAGAATTTAGAATGAGTGATATATTTTATATATGAACGAGAAACGAGGAAGCAAATAAAGGCAGAAAAGACATACTGTTTAAAATTCTATTTGACCCACTGTATCCTTTTCCATCTTGATGAAAAACAGCACAAAGCACGGTTTATTAATACACAACACAAAAATATGGTCAATCCGATGATTCACCAGTACTGACGTTTCGGCTCGTGCCTTCGTCAAGCTAAAGAGGTTGGTTAATTGACTTTTCAAGTAGTGCCGTCGTTCACAGCGTTTGGCAAGTTAGGAGTCAGAAGGCCAAATGCACTTTTCATGGGAAAGAAAAGGGAAGATTTAACAGTTCAGATGTCGCTGTGCTCTGCAATTTCATGGCTGCGAGCCATTTTTGGCACCTTTCTTTTCATGAAGCCGATGAGATGGCATTAATCTTCGTTTTTGCACCATCGACTAGGAGATCCTAGATGTTGTTTCTCTGTAAGACTATATTTACAGCTTGTTGACCACTATACTTATGGTATACTTTTCCTTTCCCGCAAGTGGCATGCAGATTCATCTATCTAAGGACGAATAAGTGTGAGTGACCTAAGTAACCCCGTAATGAGGTAATGGGAGGAACACATTGAAATTTATATATCAGCGTGAAATATTAAAAACAGATTTTGTGTAAGTAAATTAAAAGCGGAGTTAAAGACTCGATATGAGTAACAACGACTCCATCAGGTAGCAAAGAAACGGCTTGCTTTCAAGGCTGAAGATTAAGATTTCAGCAGTATTTGGCTAAAACATGCAAAGTGTGATATCTTAGTTCAGTATAAGTTACGAAACATGCATAATAATTAATAATGCAAAAATTTACTATTTAACATTTTCATATCACTTCTCTGGATTTCCGCGGTACAGCCCACTGTTCCATTGCTTCTAGCAGCCTACGAAAATCCAGCAGGCCACAGCTCCATAGCAATTTAACACAAGATGTGCATGCTCTCAAAACAACACTACTTGTTGGGTCGAACAGATGTATATTCAAACATCAACGAATATACTTCACTTTGTAAGCACGCATAAAATACAAACCCCGTATCATCAGTTTGCTAGGAAACTGCCAGTTTTCCATTCTATCGGTAAAAATAATATTCTCCTCTCAATTCT